AAGGGAAAGTGATAGCGTATGCATCGAGACAGTTGAAACCACATGAAAATAATTACCCCGCCATTGATTTAGAAATGGCTGCTGTGGTGTTCGCTCTCAAGATTTGGCGTCATTATCTGTATGGAGAATGATGTTATTTGTATACGGATCATAAGAGCTTGAAATATCTGATGACTCAAAAAGAGCTTAATTTGAGGTTACGGAGATGGGTATAGTTCTTAAAAGATTATGATGTGATAATTGACTATCATCCCGGAAAGGCTAACGTGGTAGCAGATGCTTTGAGTAGAAAGACGTTTGAACCCTTACGAGCTATGGATGCAAGATTATCTTTAACTGGAGACGGTGGTCTATGTGCAGAGTTAAAACTTAAACCAGCATGGTTGGAACAAATAAAAGAATTGCAAAGTAAAGATGAAGGGTGTTTGAAAATAATTGAGCAAGTAAAGAGCAAAGAGATTAAAGACTTTGAGTTTAAGTCGGATGGAAATTTGTATTATAAAGGAAGAATTGTGATACCCGATAATGAGGATTTGAAGAAAGAAATATTAACAGAGGCTCATTGCAGTCCATTAACGATGCACCCGGGTGGAACCAAGATGTATATGGATTTAAAAGGTCGGTATTGGTGGCCAGGGATGAAAAGAAGTATTACTGAATTTGTGTCCAAGTGCTTAACATGTCAACAAGTCAAAGCCGAACATCAAGTTCCGTCTGGATTGTTGCAACCACTTTCCATTCCACAATGGAAGTGGAAAATATAACGATGGATTTTGTTTCGGGGTTACCCTTGACTCCAAACAAAAGAGATTCAATTTGGGTAATTGTTGACCGATTGACCAAGTCAGCACATTTTCTTCATGTCATAACGGATTTCTCCATGGAAAAGTATTCGGAGTTGCATATTAGAGAAATTATTAGATTGCATGGAGTACCTATTTTTATAGTTTCTGATCGAGACCCTCAATTCACCTCGAGATTTTGGAAATCTTTGCATGGAGCGTTGGGAACTCGTTTAAACTTTAGTACGACTTTTCACCCCCAGACAGACGGACAATCAAAAAGAACAATTCAAATATTGGAAGATATGTTGCGAGCATATGTCATTGAGTTTAAAGGGTCGTGGGAGAAATACTTACCATTGGCGGAGTTCGCTTACAACAATAGTTATCAGTCTAGTATTAAAATTACACTCTATAAGGCGTTATATGGGAGGAAGTGTCGTACACCATTAAACTGGTATGAGCTCAAAGAACGAAGTGTACTTGGTCCAGATTTGATTCAAGATATGAAAGAGAAAGTTCGGGAAATTCAACATAACCTAAAAGTGGTATTTGATCGGCAAAAGTCATAATCTGACCTCAAAAGAAAGGAGATTGAATTTGAAGTTGGGGATAAAGTATTTCTGAAGGTATCACCAGGGAAAAAAGTATTACGATTCGGTCGGAAAGGAAAGCTAAGTCATAGATTCATCGGGTCAATATGAAGTTGTTAAAAGAATTAGACCAGTGGCATACCAGTTATCCTTGCAACCAGAAATGGAGAAAATCCATAATATTTTCCATGTGTCCATGTTACGAAGATATAGGTCCGATCATTCTCATGTTGTTGCACCAGAACAAGTAGAAGTTCAACCTGATTTGACCTATGAAGAGGAACCAATACAAATATTGGCTCACAAAGTCAAACAATTGAGAAATAAAACGGTTCCGTTGGTCAAAGTTCTTTGGAGAAATCACAAGGTAGAAGAAGCCACGTGGGAACGTGAAGAAGACATGCGACTTCAATATCCTCATCTGTTCGTGCAATGAAAATCCGAGGACGAATTTTATTGAGGGAGGGAGATTTATAACATCCTCCATACCGGGTTAGTGATCAAATTGTGAAATTTTAAAATTTAGTGACCAAAGTAGATAAATTGAATAGTTGAAAGATTTAATGGGAATGTTTCATGTAGGATGGATAAGCAAAGAAGGGAAATTAAGGGGGCAAATGAGTCTTTTAGCACGAGAAATAATTAAATATTACATAAGGTTATTTAATAAAACCACGTGAAAGCCAGGGAGAAAGACCAAAGTTTACAGATTTCTCTTCTTCTTGATTCTTCTTCTTCCCCGTGAGACCAAGATAAAGGTGAGTTTTCTTGTTGAGCAAATTCTTGATGAATTTAAGGTTGCTTATTGATCATTAGATGATAACTAAGCTTAAGGAAAGCTTTGATTATCTTAAAACAATAAGATGAGGAATACATGATGGATTAAAGAAAGGAAGTAGAAAAGTGAAATCTTGGAATAGAGTTCATAATAAGAATTGGAAGTGAGATTTGACTTGTCATCAAGCTAATTAAGGAATAAGAAGTGTTAGAATTAAAATTGGAACATGTTAGAATTTGAGTGAGATTCTTAAATCCCATATGGAGAATTGGATTTCTAAGTTTTAGAAGTATTAAATGGATAATAATTAGTTTAAGTAAGTGTATGCAAGTTAGAGATATAAAAGGAGGTGAAATATAAAGTGTTGAGAGGTTTATAAAGAGATTTTCGTGCTAAAATAGCATTTATGGGCTATGTGTGTGCATCGATGCATCAAGGATAAATCCCAGAAATTTGTTCAAGGTGTATCGATGCACCGGAAGTGCATCGATGCACTCTTTCAAAATACAAACATCGAATGTCATCAGTGCATCGATGCATAAGTAGTGCATCGATGCATGGTGTGGTGCATCGATGCATACCTTCATTAAAAGATGGAAATTACTTTTCTTTTAGCCCAAGAAATGATAGTTTAGAATACATTAATTAGTATACTGATTAGCATCAATAAATTACTCTGTAGATACCGAGCCTGAACAAGTTCCATAACAATTGCCTCGTAAGATCGATCGAGGAAAAAAACAAGGAAATATAGGTGAGTGCATATGCATAGCATGAATATAGTATTCTATTCAGTTCTAGACTTGTGATAAGTCTAGATTCAATATTTTGATACATGATAACATTTCATATTATGATACATGACATGAATTCATATTATATGCATTAAGTGACATGAATATGCAAGAAATGTTATATAAGTTAAGTGATAAAGTGATGGAACATGATATGTTTATGTGATAAAGGTATGAAAATTATATATCTATACAATATAAATTATGGGAATGGTAAATGCCCATGTTATGTAGATGAGAACTATAGGTATAGTTGGCATGCCAAGAGTAGAGGGTCTACGCGGTCCTTCGGGACATATATGTATTCTTTGGAACGTATGTGAGGTCTTTTAAGACACATACTTGATCCTTGGCATATGTATATGATTCTTAAGGAAATTTTCTACGTGGTCCTTAGGGACAATCTTATATGGCACTACGGTGCAATTCTACGCGGCACTTCGGTGCAATTCTACGTGGCACTTCGGTGCATTTATACGAGCTGTGGTGACAACATAGTGCACAACCTCACAGTACTCACATACCTTAGGTTCTCAGTATGGTATCATGGGCCAATAATCTTATTAATATGAATTCATGAATGTTAATATATTATGCTTACAAGTAAATAACATGGTGATATAAACTGCATGGTTAAGCATTTGATTTCATCTCATTCCATTTCATTATGGCATTTCCATTACTTCTTTGTTGTTATTATTATTATATTGCCTCACTAAGTCGATGACTTAGCGTGTGAGTGTTTCACACGTAGGATCCAAGAAAGTAGACGAGACAGGTTAAGCAGCTGGACAACATTACTCCTGCAACTATTAGATCAGAAGCAACTTAAGCAGTAGGTCATTCTGTTATGTAAATGAATGTTGGCATGTAATCAAATGGTCAAGTCGTGTATGCTCTGAATATTTTGATAAACTTGTATTAACATATGTATATATTATTGTATTTTAATAATATAAGTTCAAATGTTTTATCGTTTTTTTAAGAATATTGTTTTGTATAGTCAATGTGACATCCTGGACTCGTATCCGGGTCGGATATGGGTTGAGGGTGTTACACCTTTTGTAAATCCCTAATTTAATTCTTGATTTGTATGTTGAATTTTACGTTTATTTAAATTTAGTCATTAGTTTAATATGTATATGCATGTTTAATAAATTTATAGTTTGGTATGTTATATTTTAATTTTTGTATTTCAATCACATTTGTTTAAATTTTCTTATTTGTTTTAAATGTTCAGGTGTCATTTATGTTAATTTTCATATTATTTTAGCTTAAACCGAATATGATCAATTGCATATAAGACCTATAGTTTATGCGCATTTTGTATTTAAGTCATTGGTTTAATTCCAATTTTGTAAGTTTAATTTTACATTTATATGAATTTAATCATCATTCTAAAGTTAGTTTATTTAGCTTAAATTGGTCCTCACATTTAGATTTATCTTAATTTAGTCCATGTTTAGGATTGTTTTCTTTAATTAGTTGTGTATATTTATTTTGCATATTGATATGTTTATGTATAAGTATGCGATTGATTTATTTAGGAGTCACATAACATCATTTTGTATAATTTATATGTTGTATTCATGTGCCTAACTTAACCTCTATCACATAATCGGGTTTAGAGTTTAGAGTTTAGGGTTTATGATTTATTGCAAAGACATTAATTAATCGACTTGATATCGATTTATGAAATAAGTACAATTTAGGGTTTAGAATTTAGGATTTATAATTTATGATTTAGGGTTTAGGATTAATTACACAAACATTAGTTAAAATTTGAGGTAGTTGTATTATAGAATTTTTTTTATATTTTTAAATGTTCAATAGTGTATTTTTAATAATGTAATTTTAAAAAATCTAAAATTATAATATAATATTTTTTTCGAGATGCTCACGAGCTTTTCGAGTCGAATATCGAATAGTTCGTTTAAACTTGTTAAGAACTCGAGTCGAGCACGAGTCAAATCCATTCGATTCGAATATTTATCGAATCGATATCGAATCGTCTCATTTACAACCCTAATCACACCATCCAGAGAGCTACCGCATCATCACTCTCTCTTACATGTTTTATTTATTTTTTTCCTGTCTTAACGCCAAACAAACCACATTTGCTTTGTTCTCTCTCTCAGACTCACACTTTTTCATAAGCTTATCAGGCCCAAACACCGCCATTCTCACCTCCCTCAACCCTTATTTTCTCCTTTTTTGTTCTCATCAGCCATGGCTGCTGCTTTACTGCTTTCAGTGCTCTTTCTTTCCATGACTGGCCACTCAAGTAAGCTCTCAACATGCTTTCTTTTGAGGACCCAGTCTAGATTTGACATTTTCTCTTTGAAAAATGACCATATTTGATCTGAAAAAAGAGCCTAAATCTGTGTTCTTTTTTGCAGGTGCCGTATGGTGTGTGTGCAAAGATAATGTTGGTGAAGCGAACTTGCAGAAGGCACTGGATTATGCTTGTGGAAACGGTGCGGATTGTAACCCGATCCATTCAAATGGACCTTGTTTCAACCCCAACACTGTTAAAGCACATTGCAGTTATGCCGCCAACAGCTATTTCCAAAGAAAAGGCCAAGCTCAAGGCTCCTGTGATTTTGCTGGCGCTGCTGCTATTTCTTCAACTGACCCTAGTAATTTCCCTTCCCATTTTTACCAAGGCAGTTAAAAACGTTAAAAACGATGAGAGGAATCAGAACTTACCCTTTTGTTTTCGGGGTTTTTTTTGGTGATTTACAGGCTCTGCTGGCTGTTCTTACCCCTCCAGCGCCAGTATCAGGTATGGAGTAAATTTCTGTTTTTTACCTTTCTTTTAAACTGCACATTTTCCATATACATTAAGGTCATTAGATGCCTTATTTTAGGGTTTGAGGCTTTGAGATTAAAAAAAAAGCTTCTTTAGGTAACATCATTTTGGATTTAAGGGTGTTTGGTTAAGGAAATATGGGATGTTATTTCCAGTTTAGTTGACCTATAATCTTATTTTAATTAATTTTTTATTCTCAGTGATATTTTGAGATATGTTATCGGGAATATGATTACCATTATATTAGTTATTTTTAGATTACTAGCGTTTTGGACTAAAATACTCTTAAAAAAAATTCTTTTTAAAAAATATCTTTATTCTGTCGTTGAATAATAAAAATTCTACGAAGGTTGAATTATAAATTTATCTTTAAATTATTTTAAATTTATAAAAAAAAAATCATAATTAGAATTTTATATGAAATTCAGGTTAAAATAAAATTTTACTCTTTTATTAAATATATTTATCTTTTTAATTTTTGTAAAAAAATTATAATTTTATTAATTTAAAATTTTTAAAGAAAATATATAAATTAATTATATTAATATTATAATAAAATTTAACTTGTTAAAAAAATAAATATATAATAAGAATAATTTAGTAAAATAAATATTTCAATAATTTTTTATTCTTTTAATTAAATACTGTAATATTACATTTTTGTTAAACGAACTAAACATAAAATAAAATATTCTCAATAATTTTATTCTTGTCTGTAATCTTATTTTTATTTATAATTTTATATTTCGTGAATTAAACTCACAATAAAAGGTCATAAAAGTGTAATGATAGTGATTCTACTATTCCCAAAATAGTTGGGTTTAAATCTATTTCTTGCTGGTTTAACTGTGGTAAGAATTATTGTGCCATGGGTCATGATATGTTTATTTATATATTGTTCGCCCACATGCAAATGTTTTATTCTAAAGTTTTATCAAAGTTGGACCACGTAGTTGAGGATAAAAAAGTTATTATTATTTTTACAACTCTTCTAGTCCAACATATATTAAAAATGGGTACAAAGTGTGGATTAAATTTTAATTTGGTTTATGTAAAACACAAATTTTTAAATATATAACTTCAAATATTGAATATATTTGTTTTTATTTTTTTGTTATCGTAAAATAGATTGATTAATGTAATTCATTTTGGTCAATATCATTTATTTTTTATTTTTTAAAGTATTTTAGGATATTTTTGAACAATTTATTATCGGTCTAAAATCCACTACTTGATTTAAATAGTGGTGTGAATTTTAAAATCATTTTTGTTCTATTTTTGATCACTTGAGACTCTCAACAAGTGTTTATTTATTGATTTAAATATATTAAAAGTCTTTTTAAAAAATTTAAATCAGTCTTCATATTTGTAATTTTATGATATTAAACTTTTATAATCTTTTATTTAAAAATATTGATCTGTTTATTAATTTAGATTAGATCCTACTGTTAATTATTGACTAAAAAGTATTACAAAAATAAAGTAACGTTTTAAATCCTTTAAATTTATATTTTTTTTTATCAATTTAACTTTAAAATTTTGTTTCACACTTGTAAACACAACTTTTATTTAATGTTAAGTAGGCTAGAAGTCAACAATCTTTTACAAATAAAGAGAGAATTAAGATTTGAATTTTGGAGATAAATATATTTAATAATTTTAAAAAATTAATATCTAAATACAATAAAATAAACATAAAATATAACTGGCATGTGCATTTTGCCAATTGAGTTATTGTTTAGTAACATGGGATTATGATGTTGCCATTTATACAAATTATGCATACCCATTTTTTGTACTATTATGTAACATTTACATATTTTTAATAATAGCATCTTGTTTTACATTAGTTTAATCATTCTTGAAAAGAACAAAAAATTCATCACCGATTTGTGGTGGGGCAAGGGTTTATTTATTCTTTAATCTACCTTTATAGTACCCTTTGAAAGGGACAAATGGTTGCATTGGGTTTAGAGCCCTTTTTTTCTATCTTTTCGAGATTTGTGATGCCTTGAAAGTTGTGCACATTGTTGTCTTATTATTTAAGGGACTTGCCCCCACTTTTTGGGCACCCCTTTTGCTAATTGTTATGCTTTCATTTTCAGGCTTTGTAAATGGTAAAAGAAATCATAAATATTTTGTGTACTAAACTTTTATTTACATGTTTGAATATATTTGGATAATCACTAAATTAAGATCGAATGTTATAAAGAATTAAATTATTTTATATTAAAATAGTATAGATTTAATAAATATTTAAATCTGATCTTGATAGCACATGTTCAGTATCCTTATTGGTACGTATTAGAACATGCTACATTATATGTTTGTGATATGATTTATTGCTTTTCGACAAATATGGTGACTCGTGCGTTTTCATTTTATCGGATCAGTAGCACCGGCACTTCGACAACTCCGGTTACTGCAACAAACCCATCGACCACCACACCCACGAGCATGAACCCAGGCACCAACACCCCAACAGGCACCAACACCCCAACAGGCACGACACCATATGGCTCAACGACGCCGACCGGAGTGTTGGGAGCAGTCGGCAACGGCTTAGGCCCATCCGGAACCAGCACAACCAACACGGACTACAGCCACGGAGGATTCCGGCTTCAGGCTATTTCTTCCCTCACAACCTTGGTGTTTTCAGGCTTGATGCTATTGTGGGGTTAAGAACACAAAAAAACCTATGTGATATTTATCCAAGGACATGTTAAAGATATCTAAGTTTTTTCTCTTCTTTTTTAGTTTTAATCCCCACCTTAGATGAACATGAAGATGGGGATTTTATTTCTTTTTGAGAGCATGGTTTTAGGGGTGACCCATCGATGCATTATTATGTTTTCTTTTTTCGTGTTTTGATGTAAATCTAGTTCTAGGGTTCAAGTAAATTATTAAGTAAATGAGAATTTGGCATCACATTCATGAGAGTAAACTAGAGTTCAACTCGATTTGAAATTTTTAGAATAGAATTTGATTCGATTTGAAAATTTATGAGTATAAAATTTTCAAGTTTTACTTGATTTCGAAATTACGAATTAAAGTTTATAAATGCTCGAATAGTTTGAGTATTATTGAGTTTAATTAGATTTGAAATTTTTAAAATGAAGTTTAATTTAATTCGAAAATTTACAAGACTAAAATTTTTAAACTTGATTGCAATTCGAAATTATTAACGGAAACTTGTAGATGTTCGATTTTTTTTTAAATTTAACTCGATTAAAGTTTTAAATTTGAACCTTAATTTTAAATACATAAAATTGTTATATTAAATCTTAAAAAAAATCAACACATAAATATTAATATTATTAATAATTTATTTAAAAAAATAAAGTCTTAATATTTTTATATTTTCGAGTTCTTTAATCTTTTCGAGTTGAGTATCAAGTAAATCATTTCGACTCGTTAAAAATTTGAACTCAACCTATTCAGGTCGAATATTTATCAAACTTTGATCGAATCAATATCAAATAGTTCATGATATGTCTTGTCTGATTCACAATTCTACACGAGATCATCCTTTAATTTATTCATTATAATTTAGTTGTATTATTTTCGAACTTGTCTACGTTTTCACTATCGAGATCCCAAATTGAATGCACAATAACTCAAAACTTAGAATTGTACTTGAATCCAATTTTCATCTCGTATCATCGACCTATTAACCCAAGATTTTAAAATATAAGGTTCAAATGAAATTAAGTGTCTACAATCAATATATATCATTATAACCCATGATTACAATTTAATAAACCAAGACAACAATTTAATAAAACTTGATGATATTGAACACTAGTGTTGACTATTGAAGTATTTAAGTATTTTTCTCGTATTCGAAGTGTCAATTAATCAAGCTATAGTTAGTGATTATGTCACAGAGGAAATGTTGATGAATCTGTTTATTAAAATTTAGTTGATCATGAAAATGAAATAGTTTCAAAATCAAACTCTTAAGACTTTGAATACGTGCATATTACTCGAATCCGAGGGTGATATCATAGCTTGTCTCAATCCAAGCCGAGAATCGATTCTATCGATGATCGGTCGGCATCTGTTGGAAGAAAGGACCGGATATGTCTAGATTCGATCGATAATTAATTTGTATTTTGAGAATTAATGGGGAGCCTATTGAGCTGCAACAGATTTTTCAGGTTAACCGTCGTAAATATACACCTCTAGTCTTTTGATCTATATGCAACTATTAAATGAATGATCAACTTTTTTGTGATTAAGGAAACTTTAAGTAATGCAGGTTATAATTTGACTCGATTTAAAAATTATAAGAAATCGTTATAGAATTTTCTTATTATTGAAAACAATAATATGATGACTTATATTTTAATTTGAATAATCTTATTTTATACGATAATATTGATCGTACTAGAGATCATGAACAAAATGTGAGGGTATCATATGCCACCCTAATTTTTTTTTAAAAAATATTGCTTTTCTATAAATTTAATATAAAAATATTAAAAGTTAAAATTAACACCCTCTTAAAAAAATATTGACATTCATTATTTGTTTTAATTTAGTTAAAAAAATTCGTATAGTTTTAAAATTTTAATTTTCAAATTAAATTTTCTGATCTTGTTTAGCTTAGAACTAATTAACTTGATTAGTGTATATAAAATCGTGTGTATATAGAAAATAAGATAAGTCATAGTATTATCTCCTATTTTTTTGTTGATTTTCTCGTGCAATTCCGCAGCTAATTATATCCTTCTTAAACTAAATTGTGCGTTGCAATTAGGGATGAGCATGGGTTGAGTCGGGTTTTTGGTCTACCCGACTTGATCCGAGAATAAATGATCCTCCACCCGAGACCTGATCCTACCTGACCAAAACAAAATTTCACCTGACCCGAACCCGACATATAACTTAGAAACCCGACCCGACCCGACCTGAAATAATAATAAAATATTATTTTTATTCAATAAAAACAATGACTTAATTGGAAAAAAATATATATAGAGGTATTATTGTCATTATTTCTTAATATATAAGATAAAATTATATTTTTCCGGGTCATATATTTTTCACCTTAAACCCGAACCCGACCCGAGTATCAAACTTAAAAAACCTGACCGACCCAACTCAAAATCGATTTTTTTAAAAAAACCCCGACCATATCGAGTCGAATCCGTTGGATTCGGGTCCAATGCCCATCCATAGATGCAATTGCAGAAGCACGTATTAACTATTTTTAATTAAATATCAATATAATTATTATAATAATAACATATCTAACCATGTTTTATTTTAGTTTAAATAATATTAATTCAATTAATTAATAATAATAATCGGATTGTTCAAAGTATAACGTACCAACATCCTAATTTCTAGCTTACAGTCTCTTCCACTGGGTTTCTTCATTTTTCTTCCATTTTTCTCTCGTTACCGGCTTTGTAGGAGCACAAATCTTTCTTGGTTATTTTTTTCTCGAGAAAATCTCACCACCGTTTTCTTTCTTGGTTGTTTACAAGACCAAAAAGTTAAAATCCGACAGGAGAATATATATTGTAGTGAGACCCACCGCCGTTTTTTTTCTACCCAGAGACCCACCACGAGTTAAATGGGGCAATCAAGAGATACTCAGTCGGTAAAATGCTCTCTCTCAGACAACCTTGAAACTTTCTATTTATGGTCTTTTTCACTCTTAGCTTTTCCCCTTAGCACTGTTGGTTCCATTCATGTGTTTCTCGTTGTTATTATAGCACTATTAGTACTAAAAGGCAACGTTGATCATGCTGAAAACGATTACTTGATGCCATGAAAAATGGGGTTTTTACTTTCTTTTTGCTCTGTTGCAGTTAATTGTCGAATTATAATTGTTTGGTAGCTACATGAATGCACTTCCTTTATTGAAATAATAAACATTGATGTTACACTATCTAATGCTTGTGCAAGGGTTCCATGGTTATTTGATTGCTTTATATGCTTGTAATGGAAGTTTTCTTGATGAAACTTCATTTTAATTGCACTGATTATTATTTGCTTGTTATTAAATGGGCAATGGTATCCAGAAATTCTTATAGGGCGTTTCCTTGTTTCAACAGGACAACCGATGCGATATATGCGGTGATGTTGGGTATGAGGACCTAGTTAATACCTGTTCTCGTTGCAACATCCGACGCCATTTGTAAGATCGTGATCGGTTAATTTTAAGGTTTTGCTTGTGTGTATGATGGAAATGAATAGGGGAGAATGCTTGTTTTAATCTAATAGTTAAGTAGGAAACTTGCTATGAAAACCAGTAAAATATTTTCGATCCTTCCAAACAAGTAAAGCCTATGTTTTTAATGCACCTTGTGATGTCTTTTGTATGATAACCATGGAGGATCGAAACAGATAAGGAAGAAAGACATGTTTTATTCTAATAATTAGGTGATAAAAGTACAAAAACTTGCATTGGAACCTACCTACCAATTACAGTAAACTACTTTCCATCCTTTGAAACTAGCAAAGCCTTGTATGTGCGATATGCTGCTAATTTCCTTTTGTGTTTTGAGTTGAATGTTCATGATTGTCTGGTTTCCATTATCCAATTTTTATCAATTAATTTTTTTATAAGAAACGAGGCCTCGTTAAAAACCCTCTTCATAACTGCCGCTGTACAAAAGTACCTCAGCGGACTTTGGAAGGAGGAAAAGAGTGCCTCGAGTATTATTCCAAAAAAGAAATTACACCTCAAACAACAGCAGGCTATTACAAACATCACCCACCAACTTAACCTCAACCCTCCCAACAAACACATCATCCACACAAAAATTACTAAACAATTACCCTATACCCAACTTAGCTAAACTGTCAGCCTCCCAATTCACAACCCTTTTTACAAACCTTATAATAACTCTATGCTCCAATACAACACTGGCAATTTCCTTAACTAGCTGTGAAAACACGGTAGGACACACTTCCGGAGTCTTAATCCAACTCACTGCAATTGCAGAATCAGTCTCTATAATTAACCGACCCTTGCCACACCACTCTGATTCCACAAACAAAGGTAAACCAGCTTGAATAGCCTTCAACTCAGCTAACATAGGCGGACCTGGACCAGTAGATGCCGAAAATGAACCCAGAAGCTTGCTCTCTTCATTTCTAAGGATTCCACCAATTCCACTGTTTTTCCAATCACTTCTCACTGCCCCATCCACATTAATTTTGAAGAAACCCGGGGGTGAGGGACTCCACGAGACCGATGAAAGATTTATCTTCATGGACGGATTACTTGAATCAGCCAACTTCGGGTCACCAACAAGGCAATCTAAGAGAACTGGAAAATTAGGAAATTTCGCCGAAAACCACGCAACCACTCTATATCTAGAAATAAAGAACAAATGTTTAAGATCAAGACTTCCATTCTCGAAAACCACTTGGTTTCTACACTTCCATACTGACCACAAGACAGCTCCCGGAATAAAATTCCAAATAATAGACTTTGGAACTAGGCTTCCCGGAAGAATCTGTTGCATCGTACTTCTTGTTTGATGCTGAAAGGATTAACAACTATCACCCTTAGTTGCTTACTTGAACTAGAATAATCACATCTTAACTGATTGTTTCATTCGTAGTTATACATTATGTTTATTCAACCTTCAATTCTAAATACAATATTTTTTCCCCTTTTGGAAGCTATTGCATGATGACCTTAGTGAGGAACAAGCAGGAAAACTGGATATGTGAATTATGTCTTCCGAAGAATGATATAGGTTCTCTAAACTCTGGCTGGACAGAAAATGTTTTGGTTTCTTCTAAGAAAGTTTCTTTCAACTTAGGGAGACGGGTCGCATGTTAAAAGGCAAAAAGTTGTCGAAACTGGGAAAGTGAAATTTCTTCCTACAGAGGAAGTTATTAAGTCGTCCTCTGGCATACCAAAAACCTCCTTTCCTTCAAATAGCCTCTCTGGATCAAAACCTGTGCAAGCGAGCTTCACTCCATCTCCATCCAAGAAGCCATTTATGGGATCCAAAAACATTGGCCCTTGGTTTAATCCGATAAAGGAGAGAAGAAAATCCTACTTTTCTACAGTTAGGATCTGTGAATGCTGGGTGTCGTGGTGTGCAGATCACTCCATCAAGTCGTCAGCATGTGGTCCGAACATCAAACAAGCTAAAAGGTGATAAATTCTTTTGTTTTTGCATAAATTTTGTGTCTTGAGAATGTTGAAAGATGGAACAAAAAGGAGTTCCTAATGGCGTATTTATCTCATTTACAAAAATGTAGAAGCCTTTAATTTTACTTTTCTTTCAAGCAGTTGGAGTAAGTACTTCAGGAAACAAGATAAAAATTGTGACCCAGTAGGCGTAACTTTAGAGTTGGTTAGTGTTAATCATGATATATCTTAAGCTCTTGCTGGACTTAGTATGACATGATTTCAAGTTTATGTTATGCTTTATAATACCTATGTCTTAAATCAAGGTTGTCTATTATCCTAAAGTTTCGTTCTTAGACAAAAATATAGGTTTTCTTTTCCCAGTTGGGGAAAGGAGAAAATAAAGCACTCGAACTTTGTGAGTAATGGTTGCTTCTATGTCCCACTGCAGAAGATGAAGAGAAGGCTCCTCGGACACTTGTAAAGAAATACAGTACTAATGAAGAGTCGGTATCTTCTGTTATGGCTGCTAAAGAAGTCAAAAGTAATGTTGATGCTAAACCAATGATTAAAATGAGAGAGACATTTTCTGTGCCTGTAACTTCAACACTTCGTTCGCCTATTGTCAATACAGGCAAGAATTTTTCTCAAATGATATCATTTTGACATGTTTTTCCTTGAATTAAAACAAAAAACCCAAGATTTGCTTTGGAGATATCTGATTGTTTGAAAGGTGAAAATCTTTTGTTCAAAACTTCTCTGATAGAAGATGTATCTTATACGGTTACAATCTTATGAATTATATCTATGACCTTGTATTTAACATTCGAATACTATAACTCAACTTGTGTGTTAGACCCTTTTACGTGATGATATTTCCGGTCTTAGTGAATGACTGAGCTCTAGTTTTCAATTTGTATGGTGCTACATGATCACAAGTACCGAATTTTCAAGTTCGTCAGTGGTCAAAATTGGCTTTTTAAAGCTACTGTTGTTGTATCCTTATACTTGTCTTTATTTGCAGTCTTTAGCCACTTGATTGATATTGTAGTCTTAGATTCCGGTGGCAAATATCTGCTCTTATTGTATATTTTTTTTCAGTAGCAAGTGCACATGTTGTTCCCAACAAAGAAAATGTCCGCAAAGGGATGATATCAGATACCATTCTACCTGATAAAGAGCTCACAAATCTTCATTCTAAGACTGAGGACCCTATGAGGGCAACTCAACATTTACCATCAAAGCATCATACAACTATTATAAGTTCAGGCAAGCTAATTCTAAACTTAACTTTCCAATTTCTGTGGCATCTATTATCCAATTTTTTATCTTGTTCAAATTGCGGTGGTGATATTGATTATATTGGATCTTTTTCTAGCTGATCAATGTGTGATGCATTCTTTAAATAAATTCCTTCTCAGGTCAAAATTTTCGTAATGATGCAGAAACTGAGAACCCTGATGTCCCAAAAACAGAGACCTGGAACCGACTTAAGGTTTCCTTATATAGACCACATGCTCCTTCTCTATATGCCACCTGGATGTAAGTAAGCATGCCGTTGCATGATAGTGCACTCACTAGTTCACTACATTCTTTCTTATTACAAAATTGTATACTTGTTGAAATATGTGTCTAGATAATTCATCACATAATAGAAAAATGGCATGGATTTCTTGAGGATTTAAAACTTGAGGTAGATTAACAAGCTTTCATCATTGTTAATTACGTTGTTGTACTTGGTATGTTCAAGTCTTGTCTATATTTATGACATGAAAAGCTTTCACATAATAGGTTGATGGATTTTTATCTTTGTTAGCTGCCAGTGGTTCGATTCTGATTTGTAGGGGTTGCAGGGTTCTTAGTTTTGATACGACTCCCATGTAGTGTTTTTGGTTGTCTGTTCTAGGGTAATTAGGGGTTGCTGGGTTTTAGTTTGGTTATAGCTCCCTTGTTGTATGTCTTTGGGAGTGTGTACTTGAATAATTTTTTTTTGATAGGAATAGGATGCCTCATTAAAAACCTCCCTCTAAGTAGTCCACTGCCCTAAGGCAAGAACCAATTGTGGAAGGAGGAAAAGAGTACATCAATTTATTAATGATAAATCAATTACATAAAATTTAAAAAACACTCATACAGAAATACATAAGACTTAAAACACTCCTGCAGGACCTCCCCTCTAAGACATACAAACCAACTAAAAGCAGTACAATCAGCCAATTCCCTCCTTAGCTAGCTTGTCCGCCTCACAATTACAACACCTAGGAATCCACCTGATAATGATCTGATTTAAAGAAACAGTAGACGCAATCTCCTTCACAAAATTTGACAGATAAACAGGGACTGAAATTTGATCTTTAATCCATTCCACTGCTATCTTTGAATCACTTTCAATAATGAGCCTACCCTTCGAAGCCCATACTGATGAAACAAAGATGTCAATGCCTTTCTTGATAGCCTTCATTTCTGCTAGAATGGGAGTATTAGGACCTACATTTACTGAAAATGAAGTCAGTGTCACCCGATTCCAGTCCCTCAGAATTCCCCCAATACCAGCCACCATCCCCACACTACTCACCGCCCCGTCCACATTCATCTTAAAGAAGTCCAGTGGAGGAGGATTCCAACAGTACACAATACTGTCCAGAACCTTAGAGTCTGATAGGTTGTCAGCCACGGAAGGGTCACCAATTAAGAAATCAACCTGAGTTGAAAATAGGGGATACTTAGCTACAAACCATTTAGCTAATCTGACTCTTTTCCCCTTTCCGCTTTCGGATGGTTACCTCGATATGTCCGGTATGAGGGGTTTTTTTAACGAGGCCCCAATTTCTATAAAAAAAGCAGTTTGTCTCAGTTTACCTATATTGCTTGAAACTATGTGACTCGGATGGAATTGTCGGTTGTTTTTGAGTTTTTCGTTGTATATGGAGGGTCTTGAGGTCCATATCCTCATACTTGGTGTTCAAAATGTGTTAAACTTGGGTACCTAAAGAAAAATAAAAAATCGGGATAACATAAGCCTGAAAATTTCATGAGGCCTTACAGCATGCAATTTGCATTTAGGTTGGCATGCATTTGCTACTTTCAATATGTTTACTTGGTATCACAGTATTGACTTTCACCCACCTCTTTTAGGGGAGGTTTCAAATTTCCCAATACCGCTGACCTAGGTGAATATTTCGGTGGTTTCCTGGCTCGACCGCCTTGCAGAGTCCACCGTAAAGCATACAAATTTTCAAAGAAAATGCCCCCAGTTCTTCAGGTTAATCTGCTTCAACAGTGTCACCTTCAGGCTGATATATTTCAGAATGGTTGTTTAGATCTTTTTGACATCGCTTTATACTTTTTTCCAGCGGATTACATGGAAAGGTTTGCTTCAACATGTAAGATTATGGATTAAATTCATTTGCAGTTTCAGTTTTCAACTCATCTTACTTCAATGTTTTCTTTGAAATGCAGTTCTCAAGAGATTACAACAAACTATTTGAGCTCATGGGGATGGAAAATTCAGTGATGATAAGTTACATTGGTGATATGGAGTTGTTGATATTTACTTCTAAACAGTTGCATGGAGATTCACGAGGTAAGTCTAGTTTTTTGGCAGCTTCCCTTTGGAACAATTTATTAGGCACTACTCGGACTTGGGTGTGAGTGTTGGACATGAGAACGTCTAGAATGGACAAGTTTAATTCTTTTAAGTTTTTCCATGTATTTGGAGTGTTCCTGGAGGATCATATCCTCATGTCCAAGTACATGTATTAGGGTTATTTCCTATGTTGCTTCGACTTTTCATTTTTTCTTGAAACACCATCCAAAATCCATAATCCTCCATGGATTTTCCAAATACATGAAATCATGAAAACAATCTCCATACCAGTATTGGAGACGCGACCCTGTCCAACACTCATCCAGATCCAAGTAGTACAAGTTATTTTTTCTTTGAATATTACTCCAAATTAAAGTCTTCTTTGCTTAGGATTTGATATATTGGACTTGTTGGCTTCACTTTGTGAGCTAAATATTCATGCTCAATGGATATGGTTTCAATGCGTTCATGAAGATGACTAATACTATTGTAATATTCTTAGACGTGTTTACTAGATCGAAGATGGACTTTTTCGGGGGAGTCTTCTGCCGTGCGAAAGAAAATCGAGTGAAGGTACATGATAAGCTTCCTTCACTGGTGTCTTATACGCATGATGATAGTAATGCCAATACGGACAGCAGTGAGGCTTCTGATATGGATATCGACATGATAGGTGGAAAGATAGTAGGGATTCCTGATATGGTTCTTTCAAATGTATCGAAGCTGGAGTTCAATAAACAAGCTGCAAAAGAAACACCAGTTTCAATTACTGATGGGAAATTTTCAACTTTCTTAGGGGACTTGAATTCGAAGGTTCAATTGATTTCTCCAGAATCCAAACAAGAATGCTGCATTGAGTCTGATTTACCATCTAAAAGTACTGAGAAAATCAATAATGAGTTCCCTGTTCAGCCTCCTTCGGATAGCTCGCTTGGTAGGTTGCCTGGCAGTATTGTTGAAACCAATATGTTTCCTGGTTTTGATAAGTCAAAAATTGATTCTAGTGATAGAGCATCTAAAGGGAAATATGTTCCAAGTTTACAACGATCTCAAAATCAGCATCAGGTGCTTGAATACTGATTATAACAAAATTTTAAGTTTAGGTGGGTTGAAACTAATTGAGAATTATATCTTGTATGTCTCTAACAGGTATCAGCGTATCATTCGATAAATGATCCTTCAGCTGCTTGTCATCCTCTGTGTATGTTGGGAGAAGGGAGAGAATTTGGATCTGAAGTTAAAGCCAAATTACACGAAGATGAAAAACCCTTCAAACGGAGAGAGCATGGCAAGGATGAATCTCAAATTGCTGGTTCAATGGTGAAAATTGAAGTTCAAGAGGTGGTAAATGATTGCACAGCTGCCTGTCCTTCTCTTTTGTTGAATACAAGTATAAAACTTGGAATGCAAATCAAAACCGAAGAACTGGGGCAATATTGCCTGGCAATACCGAGACATCATTATCTTCAGCACTTTTTGCTTCAAATATGGTGAGGTTGAGTGTAGCCGGGAGGTCTCTAGGGAAACCTGGTGCTGCTAGGGTTGCTGGACTGATTCGTGATGAATCAGGAAGGTGGATTGTTGGTTACAATCTTAACTTGGTAGTCTGCTATCTTCAGCACTTTTTGCTTCAAATATGGTGAGGTTGAGTGTAGCCGGGGTCTCTAGGGAAAACTGGTGCTGCTAGGGTTGCTGGACTGATTCGTGATGAATCAGGAAGGTGGATTGTTGGTTACAATCTTAACTTGGTAGTCTGCAATTCCTTAGCAGTGGATTTGTGCGCACTATATCAGGGAATCAAGTTTACTTGGGATAGAGGGTATAAAAAAGTTCGGGTTGAGTCCGACTCTGATGCTGCAGTGAGAAGTTTAAAGAAAGCCCCATCTCATCAGAATCCTAACCGAGCCCTCATCGAAAGCTGCCGTGTACTTATCAAAGGTGAGTGGGATTGCAAAGTGTACAACATCAGAAGGGAAGTGAATCTGTGCGCGGAATGGTTAGCTACTCATGCCGACGGCTGTCAACTCGGATTGTCCGTCATTAATTTACCACCGTTGGAGCTAATTCCACATTTGGAAGATGATTTTAAACGTGTTGGTCAGATTTGTTGATTCTCCATCTGCTAGTTTGCTTAAACCACAGGAGAATATACTGGCTCAGGTATAGGTCTAATACTTAGTATTCATTTGTAAAGCCACTGTAGGTGTTAACCAACGTTGTCTGTTTCCTACTAGCAACCATCATTTTGGGAAAGGTTCAAAACGACATCAACATTGTGATGCTTTATCATGTTTACCGGACGTATTAATCAGTACTTGGCATGATATTTTCATTTTTGATTTCCGTTCTATATATCCCACTATGTTGTTAAATTGATTTCTATTTTGGTATAATGACTAATCAAGTATTTTCATCCTCACTTCCTTTTAATGACATTTAACCTTCAATATAATATACAGTCGAATTGTTTTTAAAACAAATATTAAATAACATTTTAAATTTTAGAGTTAATTATTCCATTCATACACGAAGTATACCAAATCTTCAGTTTTATATATATTGTTTTAAAATTGTCAATTTCATATATATATTTTTACCATTAATAGGTTTACTCACTTCCGTCACGGGAAGTGACATGAAATCCTGTGACCACTGATAAAATGACGTATGACACTTAAAAAATATTTTTTTATATATTTTTTATATTTTTTAAAATAAAATAAAAAAGTGTAATATATAACACATGCTCAAATAGATGTAAGTCAAATAGTCAATAAAATAAAAAGTGTTGCACTTAATATATACTTACACCTAGGGCTGAGCAACGAAACCGAGGAAACCGAAAAACCGACACGAATCGAGTAAAACGGTTCGGTTCGGTTTAACGTTATACGGTTCGATTTTCGGTTCGGTTTAAATATCAAAATCATAGAATTCGGTTCGGTTCGGATTTTCCATATAGAACTCATTTGTTCCATATTAACCCGAATAAACAAATTGGTCCGGTTACCCAGTACCCACTTACCCGGTTACCCTTACCCATAAGCAGTAAGCCCAATTAAAGAAAATAAAGAAAACCCTAAAATAACAATATGTTCTTTTTCTCGACTCTCCAGCCATCAGCCCTTACCCAGCCGTTCTTGACTGAACTCTCCACTCTCCATTCTCCAGTGTTCACCATTTTCATTTCTGCAACGATTCGACAGAGCTTCAAGTCTTCAACTGCAACGATTTGACGAGCTTCATCTCCCTTTGTCTAGCATCTTGAACTGATTCGTAAGGTAAATATATTAAAATATTTTGTATGTTAATTTTGGGGTGTGAATTTAGGGGTTTTTTGTGGGTTTCAATGTTCATTGATGATTGCTTTTGTTTCATGAAATATATTATTTACATGTGGGTATGTGTTCTGTTGATCCTGTTTTGATGGTGGATGTCTGGATGGTATAGTGGGTTGTTCTCAGGTGATTTATAGATAGGACTAGGACTAGGTTGAGTCAAAGAGTGGTTGCTTTCGTAAATTAAACCTTTTTTTCAAGTTTCTTCTAAATTGAAGAAATTAGGAGATTTGTTGCATATTAGCTTTGAATTTCACGAATCAGTTCTTTTCTTCCTTTCTTTAATTTATCTCATTCAAAGCTTCGTTTAGATCTTTATTTTTCCCTTAAATTATTATAAATCATGTATGTTAATTCTTTTTAACTTTGTAATCAGCTCATAATTAGGGTTCTATTTCAAAGTTTGAACTTATACATATTTAAAGCTTGATGATTGATTTCTATCTGATTTGTAAGGAAAAACATTGAAAAAAAGAAGCAAAAATAGATGAAAAACCAACAGATACCTATTAGAGATGTTTACGAACAAATCAAAACAAGAAAGACAAGCAGGAGACTTCACCACTGTTGTTTCTGTTTTTCAGATGTGTCTTGTCTTTTCTTCTTCTTACAAACCAACTTCCTTTCTTTCCAATGGATTATATTATATCTTTCTATTTCTTGTTTCTGGGAATTATAATTATATATCAATCACTTGAATGTGGATGGAGATCCATGACGTACTAGGTTGAGTTATTCGAGTTATGCTTCTTCATGCTTAATATGTAGTGAGGTTAATGGTTTGTGTTGCTTTGATTGAGTTTAGCATGATGATGATTTTTGTGCGATGACATAATTCACGTTTTGATTCAACTTCCTCTTTTGCTTCAACTTTCACTTTCTTCAATCTTTTCTTGTCATTGTAAAATGTTTTTTCCCTTCAGAAAATAAAATCTTCATCATCTAGTGCTACCCTATGTTTCGCGCTGATGCTGAAACTCCTCGTGATACTCCAAATAATTCAAATGATGTTGTCAAAACTGATCAATCAGCTGCAGCTTCTTCAAGCATCCCATCGAATCTTCAGCAGCCTTTAAAGAGAACAGGAGGTAGGTTAGGTACCACAAGTTCTATAGTTTGGGAACATTTTACAAAATTACCTTGTGGTTGGAGATATTCCACAATGTAGCTGTAATTATTGTGGAAAACCCTTAAATGTCCAACTAAAAGTGGAACTAGTGTCATGCATAATCATATGAAAGTTGTCCTAAGTACCCATTAACAAGGTAGATGAAAAAAACATAATTTGTGTTTTAAATCAGAGGAGGTTGGGCAGCAAAGTTCTGGTTCAGTTATTTGGAAATTTGACCAAACACAATGTAGAAAATATGTGCTAGGATGATTATCATGGATGAATTGCCTTTAGAGTTGTTGAGCATGAGGGATTTCGAGATTTTTGCAATATGATGCAGCCTAGATTCCAAGTTCCGTCTAGGTTCACTATAACAAAGGATTGCATGGAAATTTACTTGGAGAAAAAGATAAACTTTTAAGTATTTTAAGAGTTTCAATCAAAGGGTTTCTCTCACTACTGACATATGGACTTCTAGGCAAAACCTTAGTTACTTGTGTCTCACTGTTCATTTTATTGATGATGAATGGAAATTACATAAACGAATCTTAAACTTTACACCCATTCCAAGTCATTCGGGTGATGTGATAGGGAAATGCATTGAAAAACACTTGCTTGAGGGGAATAGATAAGGTGCTCACAATCACAGTAGATAATGCTGCTCCAATGATGTTGCGATCAAGTATAAAAAAAAGGCTAAATAATTGGAAACATAGGATTTTAGGGAGGAGTGATTACATTCACATGAGGTGTTGTGCACATATTAAATCTAATTGTCAGAGAAGGTTTGAAAGATTTGGATGACTCGATTTTTAGAATTCGTTCAGCTGTTAGATATGTTAGGTCATCACCAGCTAGGATGCAAAGGTTTAAGTTGTGTGTTGAGCAAGAAAAAATTGAGAGCAAGGGTTTAGTTTGCTTGGATGTTGAAACTAGATGGAATTCGACATTTTTAATGCTAGATGCTGCTGTGAAATTCGAAACAGCCTTTGACAGGTTGGGAGAACAGGATTTTAAGTATAGAGATGAGCTTTCAAGTTCAAAAATGAAGGGTCTACCTATTGACTTAGATTGGGAGCATGCTCGTGCTTTATTGCCATTTTTAAGAGCTTTTTATGATGCTACATTGAAGCTGTCCGGTTCTTCATATGTTACTAGTAATTATTATTTTCATGTTGTGTTTGGCATTGGAATGAGAATTAATGATAAGCTAAACGATCCAAACTCAAGCATAAAACTTATGGCTTCAAATATGAGGGAAAAATATCACAAGTATTGGGGAATGTGAAAATCTTAATCCACTCTTATTCTATGATTTTAGATCCTAGACATAAGATGGATTATGTAATCTTTGTGATTGATGAAGTTTACGATGCTGAGAAAGCTGAACAGTTGAGTGAAATTGTAAAACAAACTTAAGTGAGTTGTTTGATCATTATAGTTTGTTAAGTGGTAAATCCCAAGAGGGATCAAGTGTTGCTTCTCAATCTAATGTCTCTAGGGTTGAAAATGATGAGCTGCTTGATTTGTTTGCTTATTCCAAGACCAAGTACAAAAGGAAGAGGGCTGAAAGTATGTTTAGTGAAGGAAAATCTGAACTTGAAAAGTATTTGGAGGACAAAGTAGAACTTGATGTTAAGAAATTTGATTTGCTTGATTTGGTGGAAGAACAAAAGTCAGACCTATCCCATAATTTCTGTAATGGCTCGAGATATTTTGGCAATTCCTGTAACTACAGTGGCTTCAGAATCTGCTTTCAACACTGGAGGTCGTGTTCTTGACTCATTTCGGAGTTCTTTAACTCCAAAAATTGTTGAGTGTCTCATTTGTGCTCAAAATTGGTTGAGAGCATCACCTGTAGCAATCCAAAAAGAGGAACAAATTGAAGAAATGGGAGAACATTGGTGTGGTAAGTAATAATTATGTAAACACTTGTAAATATATTTTCTAAACTCATTTCTATAAATATTCTTACTTCTAAATTTTTTGACTTTTAATAGGTTTCGAAGATTTAAGGCTAAATGAAACAATGATGACCATTGATGATTGATCGAAGATGAACACTTACAAAGGTAATTTCTATGATTTAATGTTATAAAACTTATGACATGATAATATTTGAAACCAAACCGATTGAAATTTCTATGATTTAATGTTACTGCAGCTTATGACATGATGATATTTAAATACTGTTTCTGTTTGTGATATTGAAATATTGTTTTGATAATATATTAAACATTAGTTTTAAATTTAAATATATTTCAATTCAAATGTAATTCTGATTTAAATTTTGTATGATAATCTTATCCGTATAATATAGAGAGATGATTGTTATAATGCTATTTATGTTTTACCTAATTACTTATATGGACTGTTATTGATTCGTTAATGTGTTGGTTTAGATTCTGGTCTGGGTGATGGAGAGCTTACTGTAAAGTTAAACTTGAAGGCTGAAAAGTTTTCCGCATCTGCAAATGAAAAGCTTGAGGATGTTGGTTGTTCTCTCATGCATGGATGATTATAGTTTCAAGTAACTTTTTATTTAACTTTGATAGTTGAATTACACTTTGATTTGGTTGTTTAATTTGTAGTGTGAACCGAACTGCGAACAATATGTGGATTATAGTTTTTGTATGGATTATATATGTGGAATGTGGATCATCCATAGCAATTTTTGTATGGATTATATATGTGTTTACTAGGATTATATATGTGGATTATATGTGTTTTCAACATCTGTAAGGTAATTTTTTTTTGAATTTATAGTTTTTTTCATTGAAAATTAAAGCAGGCAATGATTTTTTCCAATTATGTCGAATACTGTTTTCGGTTTATGAAAACCCGAATTACCGAACCGAACTGAAAAAACCGGTTTCGGGTTTTTCGGTTTTTTAACCATTCGGTTTCGGTTTCGGTTTAAATTTTGAAAAACCGTTTAATTCGGTTCGGTTCAATTTTTGGTAAAAAACCGAACCGAATCGAACCGAATACACCCCTACTTACACCAGTGTAAGTACGTATATCTTCCAAAAAGTGTAATACTTAACACATAGTTACATCGGTGTAAGTATGTACATCTCTAAAAAAATGTAACACTCAACACATACTTACAGCGGTGTAAGTATGTGCATCTTTCAATATAATTATAAATTTTTTTTTAAATAAAGGGGAAATAGTTTTATTTTTTAAATAATAATAATATTTAAAGTGTCATGTATCATTTTATTAGTGACCATAGGATTCCATGTCACTTTTCGTGACGGAAATGAGTGAACCTGTGAATGACAGAAAACATTATATATGAAACATAAAATTTCAAACATTATGTATGAAACTGGAAATTTAATATAAATCATATATATGAATGAGATAATTAACTAAATTTTATAATAGAATAATCGTTACTATTCACAATTAGTTTATGTATTTATTTTGCTAACATTATATAATGTCTCATATACCACATTAATAAATTAAATTAAAATCTATAAAATATTTAAAAAGAATTAACATGAAACATACAATCATAATCTACCTAACCTATAGTACCAAGTTTCCATCTCGGAAGCATTCTTGACCAAAGAAAATCTCGTGATGCAAAAAATCATCAAGAACGTTCATCGCATCTGAACGTGATTAACCTTCACGACATTTACGAAGATCAATCTGATGTTCACTTAGTATTGGAACACTATTTCAACGATGAGTTGTTTAAACGAATCGTCATGAAAATGAGATACTCAAAGGTCGGCGTAGTGATAGCAAATCGCGTAGATCACATTGGTTAATGGTGATTCATAAGGATCTTGAATCTGAAAATTGTTTGTTCTTGAGCAAAAACAAAGAAGATCATAGATTTTAGATTGAATTCAGTGGGTGAATTCATGGATTCAATTATCGAGTCGTTTTAGTCTATTGATTATGTTTCACCAGAGACGATTTCTCAAGAGAAAATCTTTACATGAATACTCTCTCATTTATTTTTGAACTTGTGGTGTTATTGTCATTGAAAGTGAGAAATCTTTCATTATTTTTAAAACGCAACACAAGTCATTGAAAGAAAACAAATAGAACAATGAAATAGAGATACAAGGAGGAGATGAATAACAATTAGATTGGGAAAAACCTATTAAAGATGGGTAAATTGAAATATTATCCATACACTAATTTGAATTAAAAAACTAATAATTAGTATTTTGTCTAATATAAGGGTTAAAATAAAAATAAGACCATTTTACTAACGGACCACATCATCAAACTAACAACATTCAACGTACAAGTGACCAAAACTTAATGTCTTGGACCAAAACTTAATAAAACGATAACGCAGGTGACCAAACTTTAATAAAACGATAACGTAAATGACTAAAACTAGTGTTTTTTTTTTAAATTTAGTGAGCAAAAGTGTACATATAAAAAAATGACCAAAACATAATCCACGTATTATTTACATGAAAATGTAATTTTAATTTTATATATTTATCGTGCCACGTCAGCAAACTATTAAAGATTTAACAATCATTAACCTTCAATGACCACGTCTTAATTAAAACAAAACGAGAGTGACCAAATATTATGTTTTTTGAATTTAGTGAAGAAAAATTTATAAAACTGAAACAAAAGTAACTACTTATGTAGTTCACTCTTAATAAAATGCAAAATCTCATTTCTATCTTCTAAAAGTTGGCAAGAGTAAAAGAAATACCAAAAATTGAAAAAAAAAAAATCCAAAATAATGTCACTTGAGCTCGGTAGAATAAGTTCTTGAGCCGTTGCTGTAGCACATATACAGTGTTAGAATGAAGGATCATTTTATATATGTTACTAAATATTGATAGGGAAGACCTTAATGTTATCATCAGAATTTCAACGAAGCATGACCGCTGTCACCCAAATGCTTGTGTAATTTATTCCTGCCATGTTCACAATATGATTAGATTGTAGCATCAAAGGTGATGCAAATGCTTCAATCTTACTACATTTTTTTTGAAAAAGAATGGCAATCAGAATAGAATATCTACATACTTTGATTGAAATTCTTCTCCACATGTCTCACATACATTGCCGGAATGCTTTGCCGTTGCCTGCATGTTAATGTGTATTAAAAGAGTTCTACAACCAGTACTCATCAAAACCTAAGGTATTTATGGCAGTAATGCATGCATGATACCGATTATTCAAACTAGTCAATCAACTAAGAACCTTTTGAGTGTATTCAAGCATGTAAAGAAGCAAGCAATTATGTAGTTCCTTGTATTCTAACCATGTACTACATATGAACATGCAAGCACACATTATATATATGGAGGTAAGTAGGTATCATTTCATCAAAAGAAATAACAATGAAAATGAAAATGCATACCTTTGCTTTCTTTCCTTTGGATGATTTATTCGATTTAGTATTGAGTTCTTTCTTTGTATTCCCTTTTCTATCAAGAGGTTGCTTTGAAATATTGGCATTGTTCCCTAATTTATCATCCTTTTCACCATTACTGCTCTCGTCCTCTACAGGCTGCTTATCCACATGCAGAGAATCACTTACATTAGCTTCTTCATTCTTGCTTTCAGCTTCATTTATGTCGCTCTTCATGGCATCACTGCTATTCTTCTTACCCTTATCTTTCTTCCCTGTTCTGTTTCTTCTCCTGTTTTTCCGTCTACCATATTCCATATATTCTTCCTCGTCGGTTTCATCCTTGACATGGAGTCCAGTCTGCGAAACCATACCCTCGCTGTTGAAAGAAACATTTTTCTTATCTTTCCGCCTGGACAGCATTGCTTCAAGAACACTAATTTCTTCAGCATGATCGTTATCACTATCGATTTCAACACCCTCTTCACCCCCTTGGTTAACATCAAAAAACCTGTCATCCTCCTCGCTTAGATTACCAACTCCATTCTCCCCTTCCTCCTCCCCTTCCTCTTCGACCTTTAGACTCTCCCTAAACCTCTCCTCCATGTCCGGTTCCACCTCCAAATCCCCTTCCTCTTCTTCCTCGCCGATATAAACGACTCCCTCAACTCCGCCACTTTCTCCTTATGCTTCTTCGACTGCTCGTGATTCTTCCATTGCTTCTCACTCTTGAACTTCTTGCTGCACGCCACGCAGTAAAACTCTTCCTTGTCTATCCCTTTCTCCTCCATCTCATCCCAATCATCCAAGTCTTCCACATCAACTTTCACCCATTCTGGCCCCTCGTACGCCTTGATTCTTTCCAACCTCTCCTTCTCCAACTTCTTCTTCCTCTCCCTCTCCTCCTCTTTCTTCCTTTCCATCTCCTCCTTCCTCTTCACTCCCATATCGATAACCCTCTTATCCCTCTTCTTTACGAACTCCGCCAGCCCTCTAACCGTCTCATTATACTCCCTTTTCGCCTTCTTCCGCAACTTCTTATTCTCTTCCTCCATAACCCGCCGCGATTTTCGGTTCGGTCCGGCCATAACATCATACTCATCAACCCAAACAAAATCCATAACAGTCGAAAACCCCAACCAATAGTTATAAAAAGCCGTAACCTGAGTGTACGGGCTCTCTAAATTCCCCATCAAAGGAGCTTCTTTTACAATATCCAGCCGTAACCCTAGCTTCCTAGCGAAGTTAATTTCATTGGCGTAAATCTTAGAGAACAGTTCGGAATAAACCTTGTAGAAGCCCCGACCCTTGTCGGAGTAACCCGAATAGATGGTGTTGGAGAAGAAGGAGAAGAGGTCGGGGATGGGGGAGTTAGAGGTGTCGTTGCGATCGGCGAAGAGGATTTGGGAACGGTGAGAGTCGTACCAGGGAGCGTTCTTTGGGATCGGAAAGAACTTCGTAGGCGTGGACGAGCTCTTGGAATTGGGCGGTGGCTTCCTCCTGAGAAACGCCGGATTGAACGAGCTTGTCGGGGTGGCGTTGTAGGGCGAGCTTCTTGTAGGCGGATCGAATTTCGTCTTGGGAGCAGTCGAGGGATAGGCCTAAAACCTCGTATAGACAACGCTTCTCGGCCGCCATTAGAGGATCAGAGATTGAACCCACAAATGCCTCCTCTGTTTGGATTATTATGTTGTAATAGGTCGCACAGATGTGGGTTGTGGCTTTCAATCCCTTCTTACAATCTATATAATGCATTTCCTAAATTTGTTTAGGTTAAACTACTTCAATGGTCATTAATGTTTGGGTAAGTTTTTGTTTTCACCACTGATGTTTCAAAAGTTACAAATCAGTAACTACCGTTATTGTTTGTTACAAATTGGTCACTCTCCGTTAACAGGCGTGACGGAAAATACATGTGGCCTGTTAACAGCAGTTAACCTGCTTACCTGGATGGTATAATTACACAAATAGTCTATGTTATTTATATATTCTTTCAATTTGATTCTAGTTTTAATAAATTAAAATATATTTATTTTTAATTCTTATAAATAATGATATATTTTTCAAAAAATAAATTCAAAAATTTAAAATTAGTTATAAAATAAAAAAAAATTAAGTTCTTAGTTGTGTGCATTATTCTTTCAATTTGGTACTCTAGTTCATTTAGTTTTTAGTGAACGACCGTACCATGCATTATTCTTCAGTTATGTAGTCTGTTGCTTCTGAATCTGTTTTAGTTAATTCAAAAGTTTGGTACTCGAGCTCATTAACCGATCTTCCTGCTCTCTTTTCCTTGGATAAAAGGCATTTTGCGCAATGTGTTTGATTCCAACTCTGGTGTATGCTTCTTTTGGAAGTTCGAATTACCTTCCTATGTGTTTATACCATTTTAGCGAATAGATTCCTTGACAAAGAGTTATTAGAATTTGGACAATATCATTAGCACTTTCTATTTGTATTTGTTACTTTCAATGAAACCACTTTTTGATCACCTTTTATATGCAGTATTATTTTCAAATATGTAAAGTTCGAAGCAAATGACCTTCATGCACATTTTTGTCGGTTACGGGTCTTTTGAACGTATGGAGTTTGATTAATCTCAAGTTGGTGCTTTTGGTTTTTTTTTTTGTACTTATCAGTCAAGTTGCAATCCGACAAAATTTCGTTTTTATTATTTTCTTTTTCTACTGAAAGAGTTTCTTATCTTGGGTTAAACAACTCTTGGTGTTTTTCGCAATTAATTGTTGCCTTATGATGCATGTAAAACCTTAGATTTAGTTTTTTTAACGTTAGAATCTGTTCTGATATTGTACTCGATGACAAATCAGATATCGAAGAAAGAAATAGCAGGCAGTCAGCGGCAGGCAAAGAGGCACCGGCATGACTAAAATGGATTGTAACAAAGACGAGGCCATCAGAGCTAAAGAGCTTGCTGAGAAAAAACTTGCGGAGATGGATGTTGTTGGTGCCAAAAGATTTGCTTTGAAAGCTCAAAACTTGTATCCCGAGCTTGATGGTCTTCCCCAATTGCTTGCAACTCTTGATGTGTACATATCTGCAGATAAAAAGATCAATGGAGAAGTTGACTGGTACATGGTGCTTGCTGTTCAACCATGAACCATTTGCTGATGAGGATACAATTCGAAAACATTACAGGAAGTTGGCTCTTGTTCTTCATCCCGACAAAAATAAATCTGTAGGTGCGGATGGGGCTTTCAAAATTTTATCGCAAGCTTGGAATTTGCTGTCTGATAAAGCGAAGAGAATCGCTTATGACCAGAAACAGAACTTGAGGGGCAGTTATACTAATGTTTCGCATGGGAAATCATCGTCATCAGTAACAACCAGTCCTAATGGTTTCCATAAGTTCTCTGATGAGAAGATTTCAAACACCAGTGGTTGGAACGATGCTACTTATTCCTCGCCTGCTCCTCGCACAGTGAGAAATGACACCTTTTGGACAACTTGAAATTCTTGTAAGATGCATTTCGAGTACTCTAGGGTTTACATCAATGTAAATCTTCCTTGTATCAACTGGCGTACACACTTTTTTGCTGTTGAGACACCAACCCCTGCTATAAATGCCAGTAGTAAGTATGCTCTATTTTCTGACTTCATGCAGCAACAAAAGTTCCGCCAAGCTCATAATGCTGACACGCGAGATTTTCTAGTATATCTACAAAAATTACTCAGAAAGGTTGCAACATCCTCAATATCGGGTTATTGACCAAATTGTAAAATTTCAGAATTTGGTGATTAAAGTGAAAAAGTTGAATAGTTCAATGATTTATTGGAAAGTATTTCATGAAGGGTTGTTAGTAATTATTAAAACAATCAAAGGGCAAATGAGTCATTTAACAAGGAAATAATTAAATAATGGTTAGTGGGTATTATAATACCCATGTGAATCACAGTTGATGAGATAAGTTTCCAGAGACTTATCTTCTTCATGTTCTTCTTCTCCCAAACGTGAAGCACCCAAGCCCAAGGTAAGTTTGATTTCTTTTGGTTAATCCTTCAAATTCAAGCATGTTTTTGATTTATGAAGCTTTAGGAAAGATGATGGAGATGAAAAAGGTTATAAAAACTCAAAGATTTGTAAGTTATAAAGGATTAAAGATAAGAAGTGGATAAGTGAAATTTTGAATACGAGTATTTAAATAAATTTGGAGGTTGAATTTGATTTTTCATAGGTGTGAATAAGAAGTTATAAGTGTTAAATCAAAGTTTGGATAACATGGAAAATTTGGTATGATTATTGATTTCCATATGAAAGATGGAATTTTAAGGTTAAAGGTGTATTGAATGGGTAGAAATTAGTTTAAGTATATGTGCTTGAGTTAAGAATAGAAAAAGGAATGAAAAATTAAGAATTTTAATGAAAAGTTGTGAAATTTTCGGGTGAAACCAGATTATTATTGACATGTGCGTCGATGCACTAAGACCAAATTTGAAGGTGCATTGATGCATTAAGGGGTGTGTCGATGCATTAAGGGGTGCATCGATGCATGGGAATTTCGAACTTAATTGGGTACCGATGCACCCATAGTGCATCGATACACTCCTAAAGGAAATTAGGAATATGAGTTATTAAATTCGTTTAAATTAATAGCATCGAAGTATAAAGTTTAGGCTTCTGATAATCGTCTTGAAAATTATATTTATGTAGATACAGAGCCTAAACGAATTCTGGAACAATCGAAGGATTATGATTTATTCAAAACAAGAAGGCTAAGGTGAGTGCAATTTAAATCGTACTTATGTTATAGAATGAACATTGGCTTGCGATGAGCCAATGACGGAGTTACTATGGTAAAAAGTAACTTCTAAAATATTATGTGATTCTTATATGTGCATGAATACATGAAAATATGATATAAGATATGTATATGTGATCTAGGTGAATGCATGTATGTATGATCAATTATATGACTATGAGCTATGTGTGATGATAAGTATATGATCATAAGTGACAAGATATATGTGATATATGTTATACGATATGATTTATGTGATTACATGCAAAGTGATAATAACTATGTGACATATGAATATGAAATAAGCTATGTGATAAGAAGATATGGGTTTATGTGATATAAAAGTGTATATGTGAAATAACATGATAGGTGATAAAACTGTGAGCCTATATGAATATGTGATATGAATGTGATATATGTGATGTATGTGAAGCATATGAGAACAAGAGATGACAATGATTTACATGTCATATGAACACAAGAAAAGTGTTATAAGATAAATGACATATGATTATGAAATCATATGAAAAGTGAAATGTGCATATGAATATGTGAATGTTATAAATGATAATGCCCATGTTATGTGATATGAGAGGTAGTGGTATAGTTTTCATGCCAAGAGTCGAGGGTTTACCTATGTTCTACGGAACATATGGACAAAATTACCTATGTCTTTCGGGACATATGAACAGTATACCTATGTTCTAAAGAACATATGGACAATTTACCTAGGTTCTTCAGGACCTATGGATAGTTGCCGAGGTTCTGTATGACCTTTGGATAGGTCATTCGGGACATTTATACGAGCTGTAGTGACAACATAGTAGTGCACAACCTCAATGTACTCACATACCTTAAGTTCTCAATAGTATACATGAGCTTTAAAGATAATAAATAACTTGATATGATACTATGTGTGCTCTGTTGTGAAATGACATGGATGCCCGATGGTGAGTATAGAAAGGTTCAATATATGCTTACACGATATAAAGAAATTAGTGATAGTAATATAAGTATCGATAAGCATGTTAATGATGATATATGTGCATGTATACATTTTGTTATATTAAATGTTTTATGGTTTTCATTATATGTTTATATGCCTCACTAAGTCGTAGACTTAGCGTGTGATTGTTTCACACGTAGGTTTCGAGAAGAATAAAGAGCAATGTGGAGCAAGACAGGTCAGTTGCTTCTTACCGAAAATCAGATTAGAAAAGAATTTGGAATAATATGTATTTTGGATAGTGAAAGTAGTTGGCATGTAATTAATGTTTTAAATGGTATATGCTCTGACAAGTTTTGTAATGTTTTAAACGTATAAATGTAAATGGTAAATGTATAGTACTGTTCATGATATTGTTCACAGTACTGTTCATACCGTATAGTATTGTTCATAAATATGTTTTTGCCACTAATTTTTATAATGAAGCATAATTTAATAGTATTTATTTATTGTATTTTCTTAATATAAGTTCAAATGTTTTTATATTTTGTAATAATATTGTTTTAAAAAGTCAATGTGACATCTCAGACTCGTATCCGAGTCGGGTACGGGTTGGTGTGTTACAAAGGCGGATTCCCTAGATCAGGAAGTAATATAAATGTGTCTTCACCATCTTCTTTCACCAATGAAGCTAATGGTGTTACACATTCTACCAGTGAAACATTAAAGAGTGCACACAACAAATCACTGACTGATATTACGAAAGGCAAAAACTTGCAGATGAAATGTCATCATTCTCAGAAAATCGATGCAGGTTTAGTTATTGGGCCCTCGGCTTCCGTTTCTAGTTTTGCGACAAAGATTTAATGACAAATTAAATTATAAGATGTTAATTTTTTGTTTTTATAACTAATTTTAAATTTTTGTTTTCCTTTTTTTTAAATATATCATTATTTATAAGAATTACAAATAAATATATTTTAATTTATTAAAATTAGGATCAAATTGAAAGAATATATAAATAACATGAACTATTTGTGTAATTATACCATCCAAGTAAGCCTGTTAACTATTGTTAACAGGCCACGTGTGTTTTCCGTCACGCTTGTTAACATTGAGTGACCAATTTGTAACAAACGATAACTGTAGTGATCGATTTATAACTTTTGAAACATCAGTGGTGAAAATGAAAACTTACCTAAACATTAATGACCATTGGAGTAGTTTATCATTTTTTATTAAACTAAGTTCATTATAAAGTAAAGTAATGAATATTTTAAATATTTTTCATCATTTGACACCATTTGACGATGAATGTTCAATTACTCTAAGATCATTATAAAATAAAATAATATATGTTCTAAATATTCTCAATCATTTGCTAGTGAAAAGTTTAATCACTCAGTAATAGTTACTGGTGCTTAAACCTGTAACCTCTAGATACAACAATTCCTTTAACCACTATCATATATATATATATAAATAATAAGGCAGAATAAGAGTACAAACTAACCGATTTAATGATGAAGAAGTCTTGAAGTCTTAAAATTCAAATACGACACATATTAAAATATTAATATTTATTGTCATATGATTGACATTTTTTAAATATATACTACTTCATATATATCTTAAATTTATAACATAAGTTAGTACAACACCAAAATATAAACTCTAGTCTCACTCAAATGCAAACTCTAGTTTGATTTAAATTTGTATATAGTTGATTTAATGTAATTATATTCATAAAATCTTATTTCTAATAGAATATTTATAGATTTTAAATTTTAATTAAATTATATATAAAAATAAATATAATTATTTTTTGGTCGTAATACGTTAACATCAAATAATGCTATATCAAATATTGATAATAGTATTTATAGTTTACAAAAATTAATTATAATTAATATTCACGTATTATATTACACTTCTCATTATATGTAGTTTTGAAATTTACCTTTACTTTTTTGTTAAGCTATTATAAAATATTTTAATCGTATGATATTTTGAGATTGTTACATGAAAAGTACTATCTATTTATTAAATATATTTTATCATTTAATTATAATATATTATATATAATGAATTACTAACTGTTCGTTCATAATATTTCTTAGTTATTGACTCTACAAATATATTTGTTTAAACCTATAACCTCGATAAAGAATAATGCTTCATTCTACTACTGATACCACATAATGAATTTATTATAATTAAATTTAAATAAATCTAATTTTAATTTGAGGTGAACCGGGTACCACAAATCGAAAAACCACCTGGCCAAGGCCCGGCTGCTGGTCAGGTACAGTGTTAATAACTCCAATGGCTTCAAAAACATGAAGCAAAATCTGACAAAACCCTATGCTATCACCGTTGAATGAAAATTCAAGCTACCTCTTAGAAAGAAGATTTCGGTTTCTCGGTTGACAAGCTTCTGCTTCTTGCACTGTCATTCTCCAGTTTTTCGTTGAATTGAACTCGTAGGAATTCGAGAGCCATGAAGGTTAGAGCCAAGGCTGGAATATACCATGTGATCCGGGGGGACACTTCGCCGGAACATTCCTTTCGGGCCTTCGGTTTTCCAGATCTTACTCATTGCATCCAGCCAGCCATTGTAACTGTTAAACATTTAGCATATAGCGCCAAGGTGGGCATGTTAAACATTACCACAAAAAGGGGGGAGCATGAAACATGGTAATGTTGTGCATGCAAAAAATTTAAGTGACCGAGATGCCGAAAAAAGGGTGAGCATGCTTAATACATGTGGTAATTTTGGTTAGATAATCCAAGTTTGATGACAACTAAAGGTTTGCTCTTTGCTAAAAACCTATGAATGCAAATGAAATTTCCGATGTTCGAGACAATTTTATGTCCAGAACTATAGATCATTAATAGCAATGCGACAGTTTCAATACCTGCGGATGATCCCTGCACTTGTAATCTTGTTTTTATTATATCCAAGGGAGTGGTAAGGTATGCACTAAACCCTGCACATTTTAATTAGAGTATTAACAGTCTCTCGGGTCACGGTAAATTCTGCATTCAATCATTAAAAAGTGAAATAAAAACTGCATGAGATGAGCTGAAGCAGAAGCAAGGTAAATACCACCAGCCAATCCTCCTAATGAAGTCCCTAGAAAGTACTATCAACATGGAAATTAGGAGCCGATATTTGTCTCCCTTTCTGTGTCAAATCTTTCAGGGCTTCGTAGAACATAACCTGCACCGATGGTTCATTAAATCTGTTTAATGTTGAATCAAAGATGCAAGTAGAGTGTACAAAAGCTGTGGATACTTTCAAAGGAATTTCGTGATTAAAATGATAGTGGTTCGGCATATGTGTACGAGAAAAGGGAAAAATGATATCAGTAGTCAGTTCTCCCTTGATTGAGGCATGGAACTAATCAATCAACTGATTCAATTTATGCATATAGAAACACATACGTATGAATGCCAAAAAGTTAAAAGCAATCTTAATGTCGAGCTCATTTTCCATTCATGGAGAACGAATGTGATGGCGTGGAGAGAGAAAAGCACTGACGAAGGAATGCTAGATATGGTACATGCAATGTTTTGATGATCATTTTCCTCACCTATTGATCATAAGATATTATTGAACTGAACTCAAGTTAAAAATGGCTATTAAAAACAAAAATGTAACAGCAAGGAAACTAAGAATAAACACAGACACCGTATGCAACTAAATCTAAAATAATTTACATTACGTACCATAAGGCCAGCAAATGGCACATCCCTTGCAAGTGTAGAGCCATACCTGAAAAGGTACAAAGAAGAATGAAAATCATCAATAATCCGAAAGTTTAGAATACTCCAGATTTCAGAAAAAAACTATCTTAAATATAAGGTTAAAAGAACATTCTGCATGGATCCAATCCTGAAGACCTGTAGCACTTACGAACACATACTGTTAGATGCCCCTACATGCCGAACAACAAAAAATGAAAAAGAATAAGCGAGAGATGATATAACGAAATTGCACTCAGGCCATCTAAAATGAGGTTGTATCAAATTCCCAAAACGGTAGAAACATTCAAATCAGAAGTGTCAGATACAAGATATTAAGCATCTGTGTATATGCCGTTCAGGATGTATATGATCATATGTGGATGGAGTTAGACAACATAATTGTTGCATGCGGAAATCCAAGTATTTGTTTATCTAACGGTAAATATAATATGCAAAGAAGGGAAATATTTACCCAGCATATAAATCCCCTTAGTCCTTGCTCTTTCCATATTGAACATCCAGCTTGGAACATTCCAGTGTAATAACCATACATTTGTGTTCCGGAATTCATTCGCATTTGGTCTTTCATGATAGCAGAATTCCAAGAATTTCCTGAGCCTTGAATCTGCATACGTTGCTTAATCACTTCACATGGAACATAAACAGAAGAACCAAGTGTATCACCTGAAAATCACAGAATTACAAGACAGAAATCAGAGCTCATTTGTGCATTTCAATTGCTGATTAAAACATAAAACATAAAAGCATTCTTCTCTGCAATGCTTTATCCATACAAATATAAAGCAACTATAATTGAATCAGCCAGTATTTACGTCTTCAGCGCATGAGAAACAAGCATCATCTACCTGATTGAAAGGACTATGTGGACATAAAATTTTACCAAAATGGAAAATTTAAAAATATGGGGAGAAAAGAAAATACGAAACATCATATACCATTTACATCGGTAGAAAAAAAAGATATTTTTATGGCGCACAAAGAGATAAATATTGATCACTGAAACAAAAACAGAGCAGAGTGCACTTCATTGTCAAAGTTGGACCAAATCAAGAAGGGGCATCCCAAAAGTGAAGTAAATGCAAATCGCTCCGTAGTTGTAACTAGAATGCAAGCAAATTCAATGGAACAATTTTAGTAAAAGATATAATTTCCAGAACAGCTTACCAACAGCTCCAGCTATGAAATGTGCCCAGTGGCCCCCAAGGTTAGGATGCGACTTCTCAATCCATTTTTTAGTGGACTCTATGAAACCAAAGTATGTTGCTCCAGTTGCGAGAGATCCAGTAATTCCAGGAGCTATACCCCTATAGAAGCCTACAAATATGATCAGTCTGGACAAGCTGCCTAACATGGTGGATGTGTAACACATTATTAAAGAAGGAAGCCAATAAGCAAATTCCAAAATATGCTACATAGGGTACATGTGCAAATCGGAAATGTAGGAACATTGCAAAACATAAAAAAAAACAGGATACCATCAATGGTCAGCTGTCAGACCATGGATATTAACAAGGTTATTTCTCAAAATGACTCTTGGATGTGGAGGGGAATTGTTAATAACTTCATGAAGGATGATACCATTGGAGGTTGTCTTAGATCTCATGCAAAGATACAAATTGGGAATGGGAAATCTATATCCTTTTGGTGTGATACATGGCTTGGGGAGTTTCCTTTGAAATTTCTTTTTCAATAATTTTTGCCCTTTCTACTAATAAAACGGGTAATGTTGCAGACTTTGGGAGTTTTGATTCAACCGGATGGGAATGGTGTGTGAAGACTAGGAGGAATCTAGTGATTGGGAGTGGAGCAGCTGGTAGAGCTGTTGGATAGGCTGAAAATGTTAAACTTATTGAGTCATTGGATGATGGGTTGTTGTGGAATGGGTTGAATGTGGGGGCTGTTTCTGTTAAGCTTGCAGGAAAGCTCTTTATAATTTTAATGATGAATCTTATTTGGAGTAACTGTGTATGGTCGGGCTTAGTTCCTCCTAGAGTAGAATCCTTCATTTGGCAATTGTCCCATCAAAAAGTTGCTGTTAGAGTTGAATTGTTGAGAAGAGGGTTCCTTTAGGGGAGAACATTCTTTGTCCACTTTGTAACCTGCAGGATGATCAATCCACATCTTTTCATTTCATGTCGAGTTTCGTGGAACTTTGGTATAAGATTATAGGGTACTGGGGTTTTCGGTTAGTTTTACCGCCAGACCCTCCTTCGCTGCTTAGTTCTTGGGCTGATGTGAATCCTAAATCTGCTATGTGGAAGTTTATTCCGGGGGCAGTCTTGTGGTCAATATGGAAGATTAGAAATGAGATCATTTTGAGGAAAAGAAGTTGGATAGATTATCATTGTTTTTCACTGTGCGGTTAAGCCAAATGGTATTTGGCAAATATCCACTTATCCCTATTCAGGTGGATTCTTTAATTGCTGACCTTTCTTTGGCTGATAATCTAACAGAGTTCATAGGCATGAATAGGAAGGCGATTTGTTGGAGTCCTCCTCCAGTGGATTTTTTTAAGTTGAACGTGGATGGGGCTGTTAGTACGGTTGGTATGTATGCTGGAATAGGGGGTATTCTCAGAGATTGGAATCGGGATTCTTTTTTTCGTTTTCAAAAAGTCGGTCCTTCTCCTACTATCCTAGCAGAGCTGAAGGCTATCAAAAAAGGAATTGACCTATTTGTTTCATCACAATGGGCTTCGAAGGGCAGACTAATTATTGAAAGCGATTCAAAGATAGCAGTGGATTGGATTAAAGACCAAGCTCTTGCACCTGCTTTTCTGTCAAACTTTGTCAAGGAAATTGTGTCTATTGTTTCTTCTATCAGCTCTTGTTAGGTGGATTCCTAGATGGTGTAACTGTGAGGCCGATAAGTTAGCAAAGGAAGGAATTGGGTAATTTTTGTCCTTGCTTAGGCAGTTGTGTAAGCCTTAAGAGCAAAGTACCCTCAGGACTGTTTTTAAGTTTTATGTAGTTTTGCAAGACTGTTTTTAAGCCTTGTATCTGGTTTATTATCATTAAATTGATGCACTCTTTTCCTCCTTCCGCTAGTTGGTCCTACCTTAGGGCAGAGGACCACTATGAGGGAGGTTTATAATGAGGCATCCTATTCCTATAAAAAAAAAGTGGTTGAATATACCTCTTAACCATCTGCAACCCAGACAGTTCGAACCATCTGCAGTATGCTCTTTTGACTCTGCTCAAAATCAAAACAAAAATGCATCAGCAAACAAATACACAAAGATTACATGTCATCATGGACGGCATTATGAGGCAGGTGGGACATTCACCGCCCTCGGAGTTCCTAAACCTTTTTTACACTAAATTTTTGTCCCTTCTCCCACCCTTGCACAAAGATTGTTATAAGATTTTCCTTCCATAATTGTAAATCTTGGTTCCATTAGGGAATATCATCATACCTGACTTCCACTAAGAAGAGCTTGACTTTGAATTCTTGTCTTTATGGTGTCAATGGATGCATCATCCCCTCTCCAAAAGCTCCAGCTATGGCTCCCCACACGAACTCTCTCCATACTGTATCCAAATCATAAATGTTCATCAACTTATTTTAAATTTTGCCCAGTAAGCACATATTATTAGAGCAATTTCTTCATAAGCCCATTGTTAATACATCAATATGACTAAGTCAGAAAACCCTTAAAAAACAAAAGATATTTCATTTCATTCTTCAGACAATAAAAGAAATTGTTGCAAAAATAGTTCAAAACAAATCTTCAATTCCATTTCTTCAACAAGGATAACCAAAGAAGGACAAGAACAAATATCCTTTTTCCGGTTCTAAAACTACTTCTATAAATCTACTTTCTATGCTAAATTCAATGATTCACAAACAACTTAAGTGGGAAATTGTACGTATATATTCTGTTTGAACAGAACATCGCACTAAGGTAAAACGACTTCAGCTTCTTTATTTCCACTTAGGAAATACAAAAGATTCAGATTTTCTCGGGAATCAAACAGAGCGGATTAATAGTAAAAGAGAGAGTAGAAATCAGCTAATTTACCAAAGAACTGATCTCCATGGTGAGTGGCTTTGTTGGTTACATGAGATAATGGACCATCCAATTTGATTGAAGTTGAGCTTTTATTCGCCATTTTTGAAGATCCCAGTAGCAGAGTTCTGTGCTCTATGAATCTTTGTACAAAGTCTAAAAAGTTTTCACTGTTTTTCAGTAGGGTTTAGGGTTTGAACTTTAAAAAGGTTCAATGGAAGAAAGAAGGACAAGTTCCAACCTGGTAGGATTTGAGTATCTTTCACTTGAACCGCACGGTCTGGTGTATTCTTATTAAGGGTAATCCATTCCTTTTTCTACGGGTTAAATATAAATTAAATGTTCAAACTATAGGGTACTAAAACTATTTTTGAATGATCTTGATATCTAATGTTATGTTATTACTTTAGATATTTGGATAGTCAACAGCTTTAATTTATTATTTTCATAATTGTCTTTCGGGTTGGTCTGGAATTAGGTTTCGATTTAAATAAAACACGTTAGAGCCGCCACTGATCATTTAAAAAAATATTTAGGTTGATCGGACACTATCTTACCTGATATGCGTTTTACCAGAAATATGTCGAATTCGAGAGTCGGTTATAGTCAAGGAAGGATTAGCACCCTTGAACTGCCCTTTCGGTACCATTCTAATTTATTGATTGTCTTAATTGCAAAAATTAAAATTAAAATTAAAAGACTTGATTCAAATTACTTGTTTAAAAAGAAAATCCTTTTACTTGATAAGAGATCTAGCAAAAACATAAACTTAAAGGATTAAAATGGCAAAAACAGAAACTTAAAAGGCTAAAATAGCGAAAACATAAATTTAAAGGACTATAATAGGAAAAAAACATAGACTTAAGGGACTAGAATGATATTAATAGAAACTAGAAGGACCTAATAAATAAATATGAGCAAATTAAAGCCTCAATAATTAATTTAAATAAATTTAGGGACCCAAATTATAATAAAATATAATTATGTTGACTAAAATGCAAGAAAACATAAGATAGTAGTTAAATAAAAAATAAACAAATATCAAAATGAAAAAAATTAAAATAATAGTGGCTAAATCAAAAACTAATAGTGACTATATTAAAATAAAATAAAATAAAATAATAAAATAAAAATAAATTAAAAACGAATGATCCAATGACTAAAACGTAAAAAATACGGCTAAATTTGAAAGACTAAAATGGTGAATTTACCAGATAATTAAAACATTCATAACAAAGTGGTGTCAATTTTAGTCCCTGTAGTATAAAAATACAACTAAAATAAAAGCATTTAAGATGCAATTTACCCACTAACTTTGATTCATAAACAAGTTAAGTGGGAAATTGTACGTATATATTCTGTTTGAACAGAACATCGCACTAAGGTAAAACGACTTCAGCTTCTTTATTTTCACTTAGGAAATACAAAACATTCAGATTTTCTCGGGAATCAAACAGCGCGGATTAATAGAAAAAGAGAAAGTAGAAATCAGCTAATTTACCAAAGAACAGATCTCCATGGTGAGTGGCTTTGTTGGTTACATGAGATAATGGACCATCCAATTTGATTGAAGTTGAGCAAAACTATTTTTGAATGACCTTGATATATAATGTTACGTTATTACGGGCCGTGGCTTTAATTTCTTACGTTAAGTGATATATGTTAGAATCTAGTAATTTAAAATTAAAATTATATCTATTTTTAAAAAAATGTAGAAATTTTGAAATAATCTCAAAACTTTGAAAATATTCATTTCAAACCCTAAATCTATGTTGGTCATTGTCCTTTGCCTTCGATGAAGCTCCACCTGATTTCACTTCTCCGTATGACCAAAACTCCCATAAAATTGTGACTGATCGACGATGAATCGACGTTTTATACCTCATGAACCATATGATGAAAATCATGATCTCACGCGATTTTGACGATAAATCAGTGACAACTATGGTAGCGTATGACTAGAAGAATGACATGGATTATGTCAGTGGCAATGGTTGTGGTCGAAAAGGGCAAGAGAGGTTAAGGTTAGAATTTATGGATTTTGGAGCTTTTTATAATTAAGGTTAGAATTTATGGATTTTGGAGCTTTTTAAATCATTCAAAAAAATAATTTAAGTATCTTTCATTAAAAACATTATAATTTATATACTTATTTTATATTTAAGTCTTTTTCTATTCAACCAGACAGTCTGGTGTATTATTATTAATCGAGATAAATTAATACAATACATTAATCGGTATAAATTCTAGCGATGTATCATATTAAATTAAAATTAAAAATTAAAAATTAAAACACTAGAAATGAAGAAGACTAAATCAAAATCGAAATAAATTTAAATAAA